TTGGAACAATTCTTTCGTAAGCAGCAGACACCAGATGCTTTGTCCCAAGCAAAGCGAGTAAAAAAAATACCACACACAAACAGATAGCGAGGAATGAAAGAAGTCAGTGTTAGCTGACATATACATTCACTGGAAGAACACACATCAGAGCGTAGGTGTTAAGAATTCTTAGTGAAAAGTTTGGATGCAACATATGCGGCGCGCACGCTTACAGCACGGCTTTTGAGTGGACGCAGACGGTGCGTCGCACACGCTTAGGGGTTTAAATGGCTCCGCTAAAAGTCACGCTCAAGGGGTTAATATTATTTCCCAGTTGTGATAACCTCAGGTAACTGAACCAGGCCCTTCGCTGCCCGAATGCACAGTGATGTGTCACGAACACAATGTGATAGGTTTTGTCTCCACCATGCTGTATTAGGTTATTGTAGGAAAATAAAAGTTATGTTGGTGGGGATTTCTGTGGCATAGTATTCATACCATGTAAACGAGTTTCCCTTGAATCCTCTGATACTAAATGTACGAGTAGTATTATTTGTGCCCTGTTAGTGAAACATGTAGGTTGTACAGTTGTGTTTCTTGTGTTCTCACACATTTCCCAGGTTGATGACAGTTACAATTAGTGTGTAGAGTTTGACTGGATTTCTTTAGACTTGATTTAGTATGATGCTGGGTATGTACAGTAGATTATTCTAGTGAGACTAATAAAGTAAGTATTCAATGGCAAGTTGAGATGTGAGGTTAACTGGAGTATGTTGGATAGATTATCCTCTTCTTGATTAATGTTTATGAAGCATGTCATTGAGCATCTTATTATCCCACAACTGTGCAGAAATAATGATGAAATTTAGTTTAATGGAATGAATTTAGACATCAGATATTAATTACTGTCCCTTGATATTAATGGAAATGCACTCATAACATTGCCTAGTATTTCCGTTCTGTTCTACTAGTGTGAAGATTATATTGCTCTTAATGATTATCTGTGAATGCAGTTTTCCTCAGTTTTTGTTTATATTAGAGACATGATTACTGCTTGTCGTGGTCCTAAACCTTAGCGAGGGCATTAAGTGACTGATTGAATGTTAAGAAGCAGTGCTGCGGCAGCAGAATGTGAAAGTTGAAAGTCACGGTCACAGAGATTTTCGTTGGATGTGATGTAAAGCCAGTTGAATTGACCTGTGATCCAAATATCTGCTTATTGCTACCTCCTGTTTTAATGTTATTTTGCCATGAGGTGTTGTAACCGCTCACTTCCTTGGGCCCTTTACGT